ATGCCTGGAGGCCTAGATCAGCAGGTTTCTAGGCCTTTTCACAAGTTTTCTGTGTGTTGTGTAGCCCCATAGTCTTTTTTAATTCAGTGAATAAGTGTCTTATTTTTTTACATTCAAACATTAACAGTACATTGTGTAAGGGGAGCATTGCCAGCTTTGCATACAGAAATCTCCTTGGCACCTGCAGGTGATCTGCAATTCCAACCAGGATGGACCGCATATCCCAGGTCAGGCACATGATGCTGGCTTTGGCCACAAGTCCTGAGGCCTTGGGAAGGTTGTGTGCATGGGTTCCTGCCCAGGATCTTCATCTTCAAAAGAAGATCTCTTAACTCTCAGACTTAATTTTGTGCATCGAATCCCATTCCACCTTCCGCAGCGCTGCAAGACACATTGGGGCTGCTGCAATCCTGACACATCCCCAGCTTGCTCCAGTCTGGACAGGGCCTGTGAATAGCTGGATAGATCCATCCTGGGAGGAAACATGCAACTAACTCACCCTGCAATGGTGATTTTTCAACCCGGATGTGGATATTTGTAAATCTCTGTAGAACTTACTCTTAACCCTTTCAGCTGTGGAGGATGCTTCTATCTTACCTCAGGTTATCCTGAGTAATTTACTGGGACATGATGCTAAATGGCTATGCTAAAAGTGAAGAGAGAAGGTGATTTGGGAATACAGCCTTTCTTGGCAGACTAAGCTGGTATGTGATCAGACAGGAATCATATCAGTAAATACGAAGCAGAGTTTGCCATCTGTTAAGACCATCCATGGAGTGTATTTGACCGCTGCGAGCTTGCATAAAGCCGTCATAAATGAGTGCGGGTGTGAACCTGAGACGGGTGACTTGGCCCAGGGCTCTGCAGGTCCTCTGCAAGCCCAGACTGCTCCCTCCATGCACTCAAATCCAGCAGAACCACACTTATTAACAAGTTTTGATTTCGCTATAAACAAAGTGCTTTGGAGATGACTCCCCATAGCTGTGAATCAGACGTGACTGGAGGAAGCAGGCTGGAGGAAGAAGTTTTATCATGGAAAGAGCAGCTCTCAGCAGTGCAAGCTGCAGAAATCAAAGTCTCTCTGGGGGCATTTAAGAAAGTATGAAAATTCTACTGGGTATTTTCATACATGAGGGGTTTTATTTGCTGCTGTGCATTGGCTGGAGTTTCCGTTGCCTCTCCTGAGGTGGGGCAGTCTGTCCATCTGATCTTCTCCTTCCCCTGGACATGCTTCCCATGTGCCTCCATAAGCCGTTGGCTTCCAAGCTGGTTCCTTTCCCTCAGGAACCTTGTTACACTCCTGCTTGGGTCTGCAGGGGTTTTGGATGTAGGGGGTCCAGCTCCCAAAGGGATGATGTCCTGGGCATATTCCTCACCATCATTTATAAGCTGATACTATAGTGTCTGTGCAGCTCTGAGAATGGGCCCCTAACCATGCAGAGCCATGGCCACCTGCGTATCTATTCCTGGATTATCATCCATCCTTCTCTGGACTGAGTGTTTGCTTTGGAAGTGGTTCATATAGGTGAATCCTCGCTTAATTTTCCAGGGTAATAAATCAACAAAATGTAGGTCCTCAATGAATGTTGGAGAGAAGGTCTAAGCAGAACCCACACAACTGTGTGTGAGGGATGTGCTTGTGGAGGACACTGGCTGAGGTGGCCTCCAGAGGTCCCTTCCAACCAGATTTCATTGACTCTATGACAAGCAAATTCTCCGGGAAGCCCCCCAAAAAATGGAACATGATGCCTAAGGATGTCTTTGGGAAGTGGTGGGAGAAGAGGTGGGTCACCGATGAGGCAGGAGAAGGACGTGATCACAGAGGAAGCGCAATGGGTGTCCCGTGGTCATGACATGGGTGATAGGAAAGATGAATGTGGTGGTTGAGACCGAGCTCCCGGGAGGAAAGAGGGCATGTGTGCCAGCAGTGACATGGATAGGGCCAATCCTACCTTGCACTGAGGTGCATCCAGCCTCAAAAGGCCTTCCAGTCCTTCTCTTTTTCTTCTGTTTTCTAGCAAGAGAAATATCCTTCTTTTCTGTAAATGCTTTCGTCCCTTCAGCTCAGATGCTGGCAAATCCTTCATTGAAGCATAGCTGGGATCAAAGCCAAATGCCTACAAGATATTTTAGCTCAGGCTGGGCGGGGGAGTATGTTTTTAAAAACAATTCCTGAATTTCCAAGAGAGGGTAAGCTTGGATCTGGAAATACCTGCAAGGGACCTATGCTTAAAGTTGGACTTGGGGATACAGGAAGGATCTCAGTTTTCTGCTTCTATGTCTGTTGTTGGGGCTGTTCCAGGCAATACCGGTTTGTGCTATTGCAAAATCCTGTGTCTCCACTGTTCTCCATCTCCAGTGTGCTTTGGTCACAGCTTACAGCAAATCCACAGGGGAGTCAATGCTGGAGTTTAGAAGGACATATCCACGTGTGATCTCACATGCTGACATGACCCTCTGTAGGAATGGCCTTGTGTTTGAGAGGGGACCTTCTCCCAACCCATAACACAGCAACACCCACACAATTCTGCAAGAGATTAGTGACTTGGACATGCCCTGTGCATGCAGCTCCAGGCATAAGCACTCATCCTACAGATGCTCATGCTCCCCAAGGAAGCATCCATCACATGGGAGAGGTTTTCTGGAGCAGATGCAGGTGGCTACCTGGGCATCTCCATGCCTGTGAAGCAGCTGTGAAAGTCTGGATGGATCCCATCAGCTGTGAAGCAGCTGTGTGAGCCACAGAGCTAATAATAGGCCATGAGATGCCCTGTGGGAAGGAAGAGTTTTATTGCCCAGGAAGATGTGCAGGCTCTAAATATAAAAGACAAACCATGCCCAGCTGTTCCCGTGGCCAGAGCCCATGTGGCCAAGGGACTATAGTTCATCCAAGCAGTGGTGCAACTACTCCAACCTGCAGAATCAGTCCCATGAGCCACAATAGGTGCCCAGGAGTGCCCAGAAAACCCCAAAGCCCTGGGGACTGTGATGGTCCAGCCTCCAAGACCCCAAGGGCACAGGTCTGTCCAGCACTAGCCTGACCTCAGCTCTCCACTGGGTGCAGAGAGAGCTTGTTCAGGCAGGATTTGCCCATCAAGGAGTCCCGCACGCTGAGAAGACACAGTCAGCGCCCACTGTCCTGTGCTGCAGAGCTTGGACTGACCCCAGTCATTACACTCAGCGCAGGGTGGGTCCGTGACAGGTCTGAACGCAGGGTGAAGGGTGCAACATTAAACTAAACAACACATTGCATCTGTCCCCCATTACAAAGAACTTCCATAGGAAGAAGTAGAGTGCCCGCCAAAGTCACAAAATCCATCAGGACCTAGGTGCCCTGGAGAGAAAGCTAAGCCAGCCTTAGAAAGACCAGTTTAGCCAGGATTATTGCAGCTGGAAAATGGCTTTAACCCTCCTGCCTTGTGCCCAGAAAGCACTGAGAGGAGAAGACCTCAGGCCAGCTCCTGCCAGGACTTGCATTGGAGTGCAGTCAATATTGCAGTGCCAAGGGCAGGTTCCTACGGGTTGTGCTGGTTCCCAACAGTCAGTTGGTTCCCCTCCTGTGTCCAGAGAGCAGCATCTCCCCAGCCCACCTTCCAGCATTGTTTTTTTTTGTTTGTTTTTTTTTTGGTTTTTTTTTTTTTTTTTTTGCAGTGAGTTCAGCCTCGTGACTGAGGCTCCTGTGCTTTGAGACCATTTTTGCGTACTTAACATCAGACATTAGTAAAACAGCCCCTAACCCTATAGAAAATTATATTTACACCCCGGAAAAGCCTCCCCAGCTCATGGCCTGCTCACCTTCCCTGGCACATTCCCATCTCCACAGCCTGCTCAGACCATCCCCATGTGTCTCTGGAGGCCACTACTCCACACCAGGCCAGCTCATTTAAAAGAGATGTTCCCAGTGGAGGAAAGAGGAGGACCGTGGCAGAAAGGCTGAGCTTCCTCTTAGTCATTGGGCTCATCAGCTGGACGATGCTTGAGGATCCCGTGAGCCTTGCAGCACCTGAGAGGAGCCCTTTCCCCAACATGTGGTCACAGCTGGAAATGTTGCTCCACATCCCTCTTACGCAGATGGCATGGCAGCCCTGGGCACAGGCAGGCAACTTGGTAATAGGAAGTTCTTGGGTTTCTCTAGGGCACTAAAAGAACAAATCAGAATTTGGCAGAAATCCCTCTGACCCCAAATCATTTGAGTGGCAATCAAATTCTCCCACTCCTCTCTGCTCTGGTACAGCTCTTGAGAAGGCCACAGGGCAGGAGGGATAGTTCTGTCATGGGAGAAACCTGAGCTTGATGCCCTAGGAAATGCTCCTGGGCTGCCGTGGGCTGGATCTGCAGAGGAGCAATGCTGGTGGGTTTGAGAAGTGGGGACTCTCCGTGGCACCGTGGCTTCTGGAAGCTCTTGACAGCAGCTCCTGCCCACCTCTCCTCCCATGTTGGGGAATCCTCCTCTCTATGCAGAGCCAGCCTGCAAACCTGCCAGCAGCTCCTACTGTTGCTGGCTTGCCCAGTACTCCATCATCTGCCACCATGGGCTTGGTGGAGCTGGACCATGAAGTTATTTGCAGGCCAGGGCTGCTCTGGAGGTCCAGGTTGAAGTGCACTGACGTTGCAAGCTACTAGAAGTAAGGTTCTCTCTGCCATGTGACATTGTGTGGGGGCATCTTCAGTTTGGAGATCCAACAAACTCACTGGATCCTCAAGTGAGGAACCAGCAAACTCACTTGGAAACAGGGCAGGATCAACTGTCTGATCCAAAGGAGCTGAAGGGCATGACGAGCTAAGTCCTACTGCTCCCAGTATTGCTGTTGCATTGGCCACCCCTCCATCTGCAGATGCAGCCGGAGGCATCCCTCCAAGTGAGGAGGTGACCACCTGTCCTGCATAGTTGCCTGGGGACCCCTGGTTCCCACAGGGACATGGTAGAATATGGAGAGAGGAGTGGCTTGTCCTCAGGCTGCTTGGAAGGCTGCTCTCCCCCTCAGACGAAGGAAGGAGACAGCAGGATTGTCGAGGTATCTGGAAAGCCATGTTTCCACTGGAGCTCGAATCAAAGAGATGCTGGAGGGGCTCCAGGTCTTATTCTGGCACCCCTCTCCCTGCTCACCACCCTGCTGCCCCTTTGCCAGGGTGTTAAGGAATGCCCGACGCGGGTCTGCAAAGATGGTGATCAGAGATGCCTCCTGGGACCATTCGTGTTCAGCAGCTGGGAGCGCATGACCTGGATGCTGTTCAAGATCTTCTTCTGGTGACCCATCATGGTGATGCCCAGGCTCCGAACGTCCCTGGAGAACAAGAACCCTGTCAGAGACCCTGCAGCTTGGCCCCCCATGTCAGGCCCTGAAGATGCACTCCTGATCTTTATGCACACACCCAATGGGGCTGGCTCTTCTCACCCATTAGTGCAAGGATGCTGTGACCTGAGGAGCCATGCACATCCTTCCAGGAAAGGGCAGGCTGTCACTCTCCATGGCACATCCTTGTGACAGGGCTCTGTGACAACCAGGGGGAGCAGGAGTAGGGGGAGGGATGACTTCTGACAGACTAATAACTGACAAGATCAATACTCCAAAATTGGATTCTGTTTCAGCAAGATGCCCTCAGATAACCCCGTCAGACAGACAGACAGATGGATGATGAGCCTCTCCCGCTTAGAAGCTTCCTCAATGCATCTCAGGAAAATGGATCACTATCAACTCAGTCCCACAGCAAGGTCCTCGTCTTCCCTGTACAGGTCCAGATTGACATAGACCTGCCAGCCCTCCGCCTGCATCTCTCCATCTGCCCTTTCATTGCCTCCTCGTCAACCAGTCCCACCTTGACCAACACTTGAGCTGTCACATCTCTTCTGAGTGATGGTGCCTACTGCTTGGCAGCATCCTCCCAGCAGAAAAGCTCTGCAGTGGGACCCAGCCATGCTCTGCCTTTAGGAGGGGAGAAGTTGGAAATGCAAGGAGACAGTGACCTTAGAGCTGACCCTGCTTGGAGCAGGAAGCTGGTCTAAATGACCTCCTGAGGTCCCTTACAACCCCAATTGGCTTATGATCTTATGGTGATGGCAGAGCTGTGTTTGTGCTCTGGTACTCACTCGATGTTCATTCGCATCACCATGCCCAGGGAGGAGTACCCTGCCATGGTGAAGTTGTCCCGGTAGTGCCCCAGTCTGATGGAGTCCAGCCAGTCCTCTACTGTGAGACAGCTGCTGAAGTCGAAGGCGCCCCTGTCGAACGGTGTCTGAGTAAACCTGGGAGGATGGAGGAAGGGAGTTAGCCCAGCAGCTGGGAAGGGACAACTTCCTACACAGTGAGGCTTGATATCCACCTGCACAAGCCTGAGATCTTGCAGGTGAGGGAACGATAGAGCATGGCCCAAGAGGCTGGTAGAGAGAGAACAGCTGTTACATTGGCAGCGTTGCCCACACTTGCGTAGGTCCTCGCAGGGGACAGTGCTGTTTCTCACTCTGCTGTTACTCACCACAACCAGCCTGTGCTCATAGGCCCTACGTATGGTCTCAGGGAGGCCACTTCTAGATGAAGGGAAGCTGGTGGAGCTATTCGGAAATCTCCCTTCTACATCATGTCCAACATGCTTTGCCCAGCATTGACTCCGGCTTGGTGGCTGTCCATCACAACCGGCCAAGAGGACCCTTACCGATTCACAGTGGCAGTGCACTTCAGGTTTTCAGGGTTGCGGATGAGCTTGTCCAGGATGCTGACGATCTGGGAGAAGCGAGGCCTCTCGTTGCGGTCCTTCTGCCAGCAATCCAGCATGAGCTGATGCAGGGCAGTGGGGCAGCCCATAGGAGCCGGCAGCCGGTAGCCTTCCTCCACTGAGTTAATCACCTAAAAGAAAAAGTCATATACTGAAGGTGGACCTGCTCTCCCAGTTGGGTTGAGCACCCCTTGAGCTCTCAAGACCATCAGAATGGGAGAGGGTTGTGCGAAAGGTTCATGCTAGATGGGAAGTTTTTTGCCAGCAAATTGCAAGTAGCTTAAAGCACGAACCAAAGCCACTTTTCAATATGATAAAAACACTAGGGAGAGAAGGGACGTGTCGGATGAAAGAACAGGGAGCAAACAGATGGGTTAGTAGCCCTGATTTTTATCTGAAAGGTAAAAATAAGGAGTCTGGTGACTGACTTGGGAGAAGCAGGCTCACACTGACCCGTAGTCACTTACGTCACGGTTGGTCATGTTCCAGTAGGGCCGCTCGCCAAAGGCCAGCACCTCCCACATGACGATGCCGTAGCTCCACACGTCACTGGCCGAGGAGAACTTGCGGTACGTGATGGCCTCAGGGGCTGTCCAGCGGATGGGGATCTTCCCACCCTGAAACAGCAAACACCCAGGACATCAATCCCAACGGCTCACAAGGAGCGGTGCCATGGGAGAGGAAGAGAGGCTGCTCAGATAGCAAGAAGCCCCAGATCATCTGGGGCCCCTTCTAGCCCCTCCTTGTTGTGTCCCAAAGCTAAGCTGCAGAAGGCGATGCAAACTTGAGCAAAGCAGCAGGAACAGGCCTCAAAATTAAAGGATTCAGATATCAGATTTCTCCTTGAGACACCACTTCTCAAGACCGGGCCTCTGTGCGCTCACTCCTCAGAGCTACAACTGCTTTTGGTCATGCTCAGCAGTGCCCTGAGCTACCTCGAACTAACCTGAAGCTCTTTCTGCTTCCTAGTCATGGTTCTCCCCAAAAAAGGCTGCTCAAAGTCCTAGCTGGGACTCCTTTGCTGGTCCGTATCAAGCACAAATGCAGGAAAAACTATCTCGCCACTACATTTGCCCAACCAGAGCTGAGCCCCAGGGGCACACTAATCCCTTTCATGGACAGACAAAAGCAGAAACAGCGCATTCATTTTATTTCCCTTCTGATGACCTCTGGTAGAGGAGCACATAAAGCTCCAGAGCAGTCAGGTTACCCAGAGGATCTCAAAATAGAATCACAGACAAAAGTATCCTACATTAAAACAAAATTATCTGGGTTGCAAAGCCAAGTGCCAGCAAGAACATCAGAATCTGTAATTCTCATCCTCTCTGCACCCTTGAACGAGGTGGGGTCACATGGAAAAGCAAGTATGTGACCATGTTACTAAAGACTGCACCATAAGACATGCCAACTGACCTATGACTCCAGGACAGGCTGAGGCAAGGATGGAGCTATACAGTCTAAGGAAGGACCCAGTAGGGGACACAGGAGTATCCCTGTGCAGCAGGCCATGCATACAGAATTGAGACAGCAAGCGCTCTTGCAAAGACCTGTGCAACCAAACAGCAGGAGCTAAATTAGCATTGGGCTAAGTACAGAGGAAGAGGCATCTATTATTCCACCTTGATAATGGAAAGGGACCAGGATCTAAAGAAGCAGCTGGCTGGGGAGGTTTGATCAGCTGCCTGCTCTCCTACACCACTTCTCTTTGTTCGCTGCAGACCTCACTCCTGGGATGGCTCTGCCTCAAGGAGGCTTTTCTCATGCAATGCATTAAGGGGCGGAAGCGTTTTGGGTTCGTGCCCTCAATCAGGGAAGCACATCTGAGGGAGCTACCTCCACTCCTGTCCCACTGATCTTGACTTCAGGTTGTCTTAATTTTCCCAGAGCAATGACTGCCTGTAAGCATCAGGAAAAGTGCAGCAGCAGGAAACTCCCGAGCCCACGACGCACCGTGGTGGTGTATGCGGCATCAGGGTCATCCTCCAGGATACGAGAGAGACCAAAGTCGGACACTTTGCAGACCAGGTTGCTGTTGACCAGGATGTTGCGGGCAGCCAGGTCCCGGTGCACGTAGCCCAGGTCGGAAAGGTATCTCATGCCTGCCCCGATGCCTCGTAACATGCCCACCAGTTGGATGATGGTGAACTGCCCATCATGTTTCTGCAGGGGAAATAACCCAGAGATTACCCATGTTGTTTTCCAGCATTGACACTATCCTCGTCAAACTAAACCCCTTTTAGCTTTCATCTTTGAGTTAGTATTTCCCTTCCATGCACCTATGGCCCCAGTTTGTCTCAGTGCAATTCCTCAGCCTCAGGCAGGAGGACCTGAACCCTGCACCTTCCCAGCGCTTCTGGCAGGGGCACCTGCCTCCTGCAGCGCTGCCCCTCCAGGGACCCAACATCTTCTGCAGAGATGAGAGCACAGAGCCCGCAGCGCCTACACGGAGGTCGCAGTGGTCACGGGGCCGAGCAACGTGAATCCGCCTCTCCTTCAGCCCGCAGGAATGTGCGATGAATAAAGATATGGGAAGAGCTCCTTACCCTGAGGAAGGTGTCTAGTGAGCCGTTCTCCATGTATTCAGTAACAATCATTACCAATTTGCCTGCAGAAGACAAGGGAGGTCAAGTTAACAGAGAAGTCACCTTCCTCCTGGAAGCCCCAGTGCCAAGGTTTCCACTGGAGGGAAAAAACATATACAGGACTGTGGATCTCCTGCAACCCCACGGAGTCTCACCCCAGTGCTGTGCAGGAGTGTGGCTGCAGCAATAACCCTGACACTTACCCCTCCCTCCAGGTGCTATTGCTGTGGCTAGGTCAGCTTCGTTATCCCTCTGAAATTTGCATGTCATTAGCATAATGCGTTGCATCGCAATGTGCCTTTTTTTTTTTTTTCCTGGAACGAGGACTTCAAATTAGGATTCAATACAGGCAGCTTTTAAAAGAAGTGCTAATGGGCAGGACTTCTCCCCGTATTGTGACTCCAACGTGGGGCTGTGGGGCCGGGGGCACATTGTGGAGCAATGTGGGCCACTGCCCCATGCAACAAAATGTGATGGGGATGGTCTTGTTTCATCTCCTTCGGAGGAAGGGTTAAATCCCCCCCACCCATGATCACGGTGGTGCTGCCAGGGCTTTGGGCCACAGCCAGGAATAAGCAGCTCATTTCTCTAATGGAAGGGGAAGCAGCGGGGCTGCTGGTGACAACCTCTCTCCCTCTGAAGATGTTAATGGGGAATGTCATTGAGGAGAAGCTGCCCAGCAAGAGATGCCTCCGAGAAGCAAGCCTCGGACCTGGAACCTTGCTTCAGCTGCTGGTGCAGAGGAGCGCAGGACAAATGAATTTTTAGCAAGCAAGACACCCACGGCAACCAAAAACTGGATCTCAGAGCACATCCAGAGTGAGGCCTCCAAGGGTGACCCCCGGGAGAGCCCCATCCCCTCCGGTCACGTACTCCTAGTCACCACCCCCTCCAGGTGGATGACGTTGGGGTGGTCAAACTGGGCCATGATGCTGGCTTCGCTCAGGAAGTCCCGTCTCTGCTTCTCCGTGTAGCCGGCCTTCAACGCCTTGATGGCCACGGGGATCTCCCTCTTCCCCGGCAGCTTCAGGCGGCCGTAGCACACCTCTCCAGACTCTCCTGCAAGGCAAGGCAAGGCGAGGGCACGGGGTGCTCCCAGGCACCCACCAGCACCCCGGTTTAAGCAGTTTGCTAGTGTGCTTGCGGCTTGCTGCAGCCGGCCGGGACTCCTCCGCTCGTTTTCTATCACTGAGTCACGATTAAGTGTCTCTGGCTCTCAGTGATACCTCTGGGAACTGGGCAGAAATACTCGAAAACACCTCTCACAGATGTCTTTTATCCAAGGCTATGGATAGTCACCTTCCTTTGGGATCATCGCTATCCAAGGCTATGGGTCAAGAGGAGAGATTGCAGGGGGACTGCAAGCCCCTTTTCCTAGACAAATATCTCTTTTTTTTCAGGATGAAAATGTAACATTTTTGCTTGTGATTTTGCTTGCATTTTGTCACCCCAGATGCTCGCTCCGAGGTTTGGAAGTGGAGCGGCTGTGCTCAAGCACCCACGCGGGACGGGCCGAGCCATCTGCCGACGCCAGCCTGAGCCGTCAGAGCCACCGCAGCTGAGCAGCTCCGCTTTGTACCGGGCTGCCTCGGAGGGGTTTATTCCATGCACTAAAACCAAATCCTGTTGACTCTGAGCTTAGAAAAATAAAGCAATGGTGAAGCTCTACATGAGCACTGTAGTAGTGCCCTGCAGCCTGCCATGGCCCCAGCAGGCCACACCAATGGTAATGTCTCAGATCCCACATTCTCTAAGCACACATGACACAAACAGGCAGGCCAGGGCCAGGGACTCACCAGACCCAATGACCTTCTCAATCTTGATGCGGGAAGCCTCAATTTCGCGGGTGAACTCATGCACGGCTTGGCACGGGTCCTCATATGTGTGGGGATCGACGTAGAACTTGGACTCGGGGAACTTCACTGTTAGATTTCAAAGAGGAGAGAAGAGAGAAGCTCTCCCAAGTAGCCCTGCCACGAGGTGGGCATCCAGGAACCCAAAGCACAGATGGGCAGGGGCAGGACTCCTTGGAGTGGCAAGCTGAGAAGACACAGGAGTTGCAGGCCCAGATAACCTAACGCATTCCTTGGCATGGCAATATCCTCTGAGCAAACCTGGCCACCACATCACCTCCATGGGTTTCTCCTCCTCCTTCTACCAACTCCCTGTGGGTTTTGGATTAATTTTACGCTGTTCTGGCCTGCTTCCATGTGAGATGTGCCTGCAGCAGCCCCACTTCTCATTGTGCAGGTCTTCAACCCAATCATCACTATGCCTATGGGATCAGAGCCCCTGGCTCAGCATCCACAGGGGCAAGTGGTGTTTGAAATCCTCCAGTCTGCAAACCATAGTGGTGGCTCAGGTTCCCACCCATCCACAAGGGCCTTCATGAGCATGAGTAAAGAGAGTCCTACCTTGCCCATTCTGATAATGCATCTTCTCCTCGTCTGAGTCCTGGAAAGCCTTGCTGTACCCACAGTGCCTGCCATGGAGATGTTACAGATCAGAAGACATATACCCCCTCTTCCTCGGTCCCCAAAATTGCCCAAAGGCAGGGGAGAATGGGGTGGGTGCCGGAGATGCAGGCATCCCAAGAGGAGCTGAAGCTCATCCTGCCACATCACCCCATCTTGCTTGCAGACACTTTGGCCTGGACCTGGGGACTTGCCATGTGCTCTCCAAGGAGAGTGGAGACATTGTCTCTACACAAAGCCTCTTCATTGCTCGCTGCTCCCTAAACCGTGGATGCTCTGGCCCAAGCTGGCAGGAAAACAGCTGTGCCCAAGCCTCCCCTCCCACCCTGTGACAAGCTGCAATGACCTCCAGGAAAGGACCCACCTCTTCTTGCAGATTAGGACCACCAGCAACGTGACAAGGCCAGCGATGAGGATCAGGCAGATCCAGACTATGGTCATGGTGTCATATCGGAGAGACACTGGAAGAGACAGAGCAGGAGGCAGGTGAGCTGGAGTGGGGATGCAAGAAAACTCACCTACGCGGAAGAGACAGAGCAGGAGGCAGGTGAGTGGATGATGCAAGAAAACTCACCTACTTCGTGGTGAGTCACCACCTTCATGAATAACAGCACAATTTCTCCCCTCTGGCCCCATTTGTGCAGATATGTGTGCAAAACGGGATCACTGAGCCATGCTCCTCTGCACTGACCCACGCTTCCCACACATCCATCTTGCATGAGCTCACCTGGCTTTCCCGTCTCCACCTCCACCGTCTGGCTGAACCTCCCGCAGCCAGCAGAGGTGCGGGCCCGAACCTGGAAGATGTAGCGGGTCGCAGGCTTGAGCCCAGAGATGGTGGCAGTGGTGCCTTTGGCTTTCAGAGTGGAGTAACTCTGCATTTCTTTGTCCTGCAAAAAGCCACACTGAAGCCCTTGCTGAGCCAGCACAACAACCAAGGAAAAGCCTCCCCGGAATTAGTCCTCGGCATAACCCGTAATCCAACACGCGCAGTCCGGGTCGTAGCAGCAAATGCAGCGTTACCTTCTCGTAGTACTTGATCTCATACTCCAGGATGATGCCGTTGGGCTGATCCGGCTCTTGCCACAGCAAGGTGACACTGTTCTGGCCTGTGCTCTCCTGACGGACTGCCACCACCTGGGATGGGGCTGGAGACAAGACAACAAAGTGTAGGTTAGGGTGGCACGCAACACAACACGGCACCTATAGAGGGTAGACCCAGAGTCCATGGGGACAGTTTAAGATGTGCTTCTGCTTTGGCAAAAGCCATTTGGACATGAGTGCTCTGAAGAATGGAGATGGAGGATGGACTAGCAGGAGCGCTTGTGTTCACTCCAGTTGCCTCTTTCCTGTGGACACTCCTGCAGGAATGAGGCATTTCCACAAAGCTCTGCTAACCAGGTGAGGGTCCCTGGGCTCTTGGCACTGCCCCAACAAGATCAGAAGGGGCTCACTGCCACAGCAAGCTCCTGCGGGCTCATTTTCAATGGGGAGAGTTAAAAAGAAGGGTCAATCCCTGCCCTGTGCCCTCTCCCTCCTCCCTCATCTGGACTCTGCCCTTCACAGATGCCCAGGTGGTCCTGGTGCAAATCTTGGCTTGGCTGAGCTAGGAGATTGCTCAGAAATCTTTCCTGGGGAAAGTGTATTTCACAGCAGGAGTTTTGCAAAGCTGAAGCATGCATAAGAGAGACTTTCCCCAGCAAAACCTGTCACCAGCCAGACGGTTGGTCCTGGTGTGAGCTGAGAACAGTGTTCCTAAAGCATATCTGAACTTCTGCTTGGCCCTTTGGGAAGGGCTGAGTAGGCTGGAGGAGCAACCTGAAAGATTCATGCTGCACTTAGTGTTCCTGTCAATGAACAAGTGTTCTCCATGCCCCGTCTCCTTTAGAAAAGGAGCCTCCACCAGCAGCTTCAGGTTGGAGCGAAGGAAAAGGGAGATGAGAAAGACCACGAACCAGAGAAGTGCACCAGTTCTCCTGCTCCCACTGCAGGACCTGGCTCCAGGGGATGCTCAAGCCTTGTCCTGGAGTAACATCAGCATCAGTCCAGCCAGGCAAAACCCTTGGGATGACGTCTGCTCCTCCTACCTGCCTGGTTTGTCGTGATGTTGGCAACTGCAGCTCTTCTGGGCTCCAGGCTGAGGTCCGACACGCCGTTGACGGCCTCCACCCAGAAGGAGTAGTTGGTGTGGGCCAGAAGGTTGGTGACCGTGAGCGCTCCCTGCGCCAAGCTCATCTGCTGGGGGACGAAGCGGACCCCGGTGCCGCACGCCTCGCACTGGCCGGCGTCTCCTGTGCAGCGCCTGCACACCACGTTGTACAGGATGTCCAAGCGTCCACCCATGTCCAGCGGTGGGGCCCATTCCAGCGCCACCGAGGTGCCGTTCACGCTGGAGATCAGGTTCACGGGAGCAGAGGGGGGCCCTGGAAAAGGAGCAGAGGTTCAGGCAGAGCAGGAGACACTGCAATGCGTTGGGGCTGGTGGAGTCTTGGGCAGCTTCTCCTGCGGGAGATCCACAGCTGATGGCCCTGCATGGGCAAGTGAGGCTTTGGAAAAGCTGCCCAGAGAAAAGCGCATCAAAGAGAGGACCTCAAAGACACTGAAGTCTTGGGGTGACACACTATGGTAAACCAGATTCCCTGGAACGATGCTTTGGAATGAGATAGCAGGCGCCAGGCAGGGAAGAGCTGATGGGGGACGCAGGAAGCTCTGGGAACGGCCAAGCTGTGGACAGGCTGGAGGAGGGAGAACAAGAGCAACCAAAGGAACAAGAAACCCCTTTCCCAGCAGGATAAACATTTGGGGGAGGATACTTTGGAGCCTTAGAGAAACATAACTCAGATGTTGCTGACCTGACTTTCAAGCAGCACCTCTCTGCCCTCCTAGATCAGCTTCAGAGAAGACAACTCCTTCGGGGATGTTTTTTACCCCCCTTAGCATCGCAGGACCCCTCAAAGCAGCCCCTTGCAGGCAAGGGAGGTGAAAAACCATGTGCCACATCCCAGGTTCCATCTCCATGGACCATGGGACAGAGCACAGCAGCTTTTTCAGGCTGTGGGCCTCTAAGGATGCAGGAGCAGGGTACTCACGCGTGCAGGCGGCCGAGGGGGGGTCCTGCAGAGCCCGGTAGAAGCGGCTGTCGCAGCGGCACACGCGGGCAGCCCGGCTCTCCGAGTGGCTGTGCGAGGGGCACTTGGCGCACAGCTGATCCCCGGGCGCCGACTTGTAAAAGCCCAGCTCGCAGGCTGTGGAGAAGGGAACGGGCAGAGGTCAGGGGGATGTGCCAGGGCTGGGATCATCCTACGGCGCTGCAACCCCCTTCCCAGCACAGAGATGCACCCCAATTTCCCCATCATCTATCCCTATCATCTATCTAGTGCTTTCTTGCTGCAAGTCGGCAGCTCATCCGGCCTGGATGTTCCCCACGGAGGGAGCGAGGTGGACAGGGATGTGCCCAAGAGTGGCAGGCTCAAATAAGAGAGAAACGACTGTAGCTTCCTGGGTCCCCGCATTCATCCATCACCTCCAGGAGCAGCTCCTGCATTTCCAGCACTGCTCCTGCCTCTGGCTCATTGCTTTTTCCCTACTGAAGCGGCGGTACCTTCATGTTCCTGCTTTTACCCCAGTGGCCAGTGACGTGAACAGCCTCAATTTTTGCTTCCAAGCATGTTGAAAGGTTTTTCCCTACGATCCAGCTTCCTTGATGGTCCAAGTACCTCCTTGCTTGGTTTCCAGGTGCCGATTTGTTTTTCTATCACCAGCTCTCCCCTCCTCACTGTGGCTGGCCGCACGGATCGCTGCATAAGCACTTGGTGTGTTGGACGCTTCAAAATCCATGTCCAATTTCTGGGGGTGTTTCTGCACTGATTTCTCAGGTGTTTTTGCAAGGAGAGCCACTTTAAAAGCAGAGTACCATTTCCAACAGGACACATATGCTGCATGGTAGCAGCATGCAAAAAGCAACAGGCTTTGGAGCCTGTTCCTAAATCTCGGCTCCTCCACAAGGTCCCCGAAACCCCTCATTTCCAAGCTATTCAGTTCCAGCCTTTGAACTGGGGTTATTCCCCACATTGCATGCCAGGATTTGTGTTCTTCAGCTCAGCACCAATGGCAACACCTTGGGCCCTGCCAGCCACCATCATCTTCACCACTGCAAGGACTAGGAACTTCCAATGCAAGAGGCACCAGAGCTGATCCCCGCTCTGGTGTTTAATTAAGGGCAGAGAAATCAGTGCTATCCCAGACACGGCTCCGCTTTATCTGCCTGGGAGAGCAACCGGCTGGCAGGAAGGGTGGGCGCGTGGAGCACAGCAGATTTTCAGCGAGTCGCTGTAATCATTTAGCATTTAATGTCGCAAAGAAGCGTTAATTACCTGTAGCAATGATTCACAATTATTTCAGATGCAGTCAAGGGGAAAATTATGCTAAATGATGAATTACGAGTGAGCTCGTGCACCAGGGCAGAGCTGTTTGGAGCCAAGTATGTAAGAGGGCCTGGAGAAAAGCTGGGTTGGAGCAGGGCAGTCAGCTGGGTTGCAGAGACCAGGACCTCTTAGGGTAGCTCTGGGAAGAGCAAAACCAGCAGAAAACTGGCTGAAAAGACAAGTTCAGGCAAACATAACAGGTCCGAAAGCTACTGGGCTCTACTGCCATGGCTACACCATACCCTGAACCTGTTGCAGAGCACCTCTTGGTGTTGATGCTCCCGGGGTCCCTGTCCTGCTCAAGCAGCCCCATCCTTGCAGGCATTCCCTGCCCAGGAGGTCCTGGAGCAGCAGGCTGGTCTCTAAACCCAGCAAGCGCAGGGAGGGCTTTGCCAGCCATCTGTAGCTCGGTCCATTTGTTTCCCTCCTTCTTCGTCCTCTGGGGACAGGACAACATCTGCTGACAAGTTGGCAGGGCTGGGGAAGTGATGGATGAACCTGTCGAGGAGATGTGAGCCGGGAAGGAGCCACGCTGCTGCGTCCGAGCCGCGGCACAGACCCAAGGAGCACCAAGGGCTGCATCCAAGGTACCACAGGGACATAGCAGGACATGGCTGTGAGGCTGCAGGTGACACCGCTGCGGGGCAGCCCTGGCTCCCTGGAGCTGAAGCCACACTCTCGTCTCTGCAATGGAGCAGCCAGTGCTGGATATCAGCTCCCAGCAGCAAAGCTGATAAGTCTCTAGCAGAGGCAGGTCCACGCCAGCTGCCAGGCTGGGCAGCCATCCTTGGAGGCAGGTCTTCCAGGGATTAGCAAGGCACTGGGGACTAAATCTAGCACTGAGCTCATTCCCAGATGCCGGCTCCCCTCCTCTCCTCCTGGCCCTGTCAGATTGAAGTGTCGAGGAGGAGATGGAAGTGAGCCAGGCAGGCTCAGAGCTCAGTAAAGCCACCAGGACCCTGCCTTGCATGCAGCCCTCCACCCTCAATTCCTCAAAGTCAGAGAGCTGGGAAAGGCCAGGCATGAACACAGAGTGCCAAAGGGACTCCAGTGTCCCCAGCGTGCTGCAAATGACTCCATGCAACTGATGTATTGGGTGGAGGAAAACCTAGATCCCTCCTGCAAGACTTAGGGAAGCAAAGATGCATGAGATACAAGGGAAGAAAGGAGGTAGGAAACAGCAAGAGCTTAATCCCAGGTCCTGCTGGAACCAGCATGCTCCTCTGGAGGGGGGTGCAAGCCCTCACACCATCTGGATCTTGGGTTGGACAAGTTTTCCGCATGGAAAACTTTCTGCTCTGTGAGGAGGAGGAGCATCTTCCCAGGCAGGGAGGCTGCCTTAAGCCTCTGAATGGGGTTAGGACTGAATTTAGGATCCCCAAACGCCCATTGCACTGCACCATCTCCACCATAAGTGCTTCTGCAAATTTGGAATGCCCAAATTTGGCAGAAAAGAAGGATTCAAACCAGAAGCAGATATTTCAGAATTGGCGAAGGTCTTTGAGAAGATCCATCTATAATGTTCCAATGACTCTTTGGCTCTTTTCTTTTAGGAGAACCGCACAGACCTTTCCATAAAGGAATTTTTTTTCATTGTCATCAATATGCTGAACTCCAGCCAAGCATCAGATTCACCCTTCACCTGTGGCTAAACATTTGAAGCCCAGAGGAAAAGTGGCAAACAGTAAAACATATTCAGCTACAGACAAATAAATATGTTGTTCTATTTGTGGGTAAAGAGCAGCTTTGCAATCATCTCTATCCCTTTTGTATGATCCTAAGCAGAAAACTAAAGATGTAGTACTATGTTGTTGAATTTGGGGGGTTTGTTTTCTTTTTCACAGTAAATGCAATAGGCCACTTGCTTGAATTTTAGAGGAGAAAGTCTTGGACATGCTGAGATAATCTTGTCCTCCACCCTGCTTTCTCCAGCACCCTCATTGAGCTACGCTGGCTCTGCGTGCACAGTGCAGCTAACCTGGGATCCCAACTGAATAACTTGCAGTTAATTCTGGGACTGTAAATGGGAACCTGAGATACCAGAGAGACCTTGAATCCTGGGATCCAGCTTGGATCGCTCCCTGCGGAAGGTCTCCATGGTGAGTACCCAGGTTGGTCTAGCTCTGGATCACGGAGGTGCAACACAGACACCAAGGTGGGCTCCAAGCTGGCACACTGGGATCTGTGAGAAGACCCTGGAAATCCAGATAGATTTTCAAAGCAATGTTAAATGCATCGCAACACGCTTGTCTGGCCTTGTGATGACAAGGTACCTTGATGCACAGCTGCTGGTGCACACATCTAGATGGGACACAGAGGAGGGGGAGACCTGTGCAAAATAGCCTGATGATGGGTGACCTGAAATCCCAGCTCTGAACCCTGCTGATGGACAAGAATCCATGTATAGATCCCAGTCAAAGTGATAGGGGGACCTATGCCTCCCATGCAGAGCTGGGAAAGGGGGATTTTCCTTGGAATCAGCCTGCCAAGACCAGTGTCCTGCTTCCAGCAGAGCAGCCTAGATAGGCTGGATCATGTGAAAACACAACATAAGGAGCTGTAGTTGCTGTTGTGATTCTCCTAGAAGTATAGGGGGAAAAATAGTTAGGAAAAGACATAAGGAATTTGGGAACGGAAGGGAATGCTGCATGGCTCTCACCGGCTCCCTCAATCCCTTGGCCCATCTCTCCTCCTCCTTGAACCCTTCTTCTCCATCCATCCTGTGTTGAAGGAAACGGAGCTGACTCCTCCGGAGCAGCTGGACCTCCTCCATCCATGTTGCAAGCGCTGCTCCCCCTCTGCCCTGCCATTTGGACAGGACAGGGATTCCTCCCTCCTGACTGGCTTCCTAAATGTCTATGGATGTAAAACTGTATTCACAGGCACATAATTACCAAGTCGGGTATTTTCTCCTCTTAATTAGCAATGCTGTGGTGCTTTAATTGCGTGATTAAAGTTGCCCACAAGGAAGGTTTAAGGTACATTAAATTTGCTGATTGGTTCATCAGCATGAAGCCCACCAACTGGAAAAAATTAACTGGCTTCCAGATTGCTAACCAGACTTCCCAGATCCATTTCCACCAGCCGTGTGTCACAGGAGGCACAAGAGAAAACGGTAGCAGAGGTGCCTGGGAGGAGTATCCAACTGTCCCACTCCTCCGTATCTCCTTAATTTGAGGAGCTGGAGGTGAGAGAGTCCTGCAAACCACAACCTGCCTCCCCTCTCCTTGTCCAGAGGACATGGTCTGCCTTACACAAGTCACTTTCTTCCAGTTTAAGCAGTTTATCTACCTTTTATGGGGTTAAGGGAAGCCCTTTCAGCCAGTGCTCATCCTCATTTCCAGTTACTAAACACCCACAGTCGTGTGCAAGGAGAGGGACCGGCTCATGGTTGCTCTCTCACCAACGTTCTCCTGCTAAAGTCAACATCCCCATGAAGCCCCCAAGCACCACGGAGTGCAGCAGCAACCAGGACACCCAGACACTAAAGAGCCTGCTCCCAAACTGTGGAGGAAAAGGTCCACAAGCTCCAAAAAGTCATGGATATAGAGGAGTGAAGGAATATTGCTGAATTCATTGGGAATGGCTTTTCTGCCAAAGGCTGATCTTCTTGCTCTGATCTTGGGGCTATCGCTCCCATTATACCCTTTTTTTAATTTATTCATTAAAGAAAATGTTTCCTGGGGGGTTCTGCATCCTGGACATTTCCCTGCTGCCTGGATGAATGGATTTGTGTCAGCTCCTCGACAGCAGCACTCGTGATCTGCAGCCGTGACACTATTCCCGATGGCCCGGGATGACTCTCCGTACATATTTAACTCACTATCAGCTAAACAGATTTTAACCCAGCTGTCCGGCACTGCTCATTGATAGCTGGTGACAAATATGTCAGAAAAACAGCCCTGGTGGCCAGTGCCCAACACAGCCACAACCACGATGCAGCCCAGCCAAGGGAAGGACTTGAAGAACGTTTTAGGAGGTGATTTGTGGGTTTCCTTGTTCCTGCAGAAGCAGGACCATGGGACTTGTCTTGGAGTTAAATGCTCTCCTTTTTCATCTAGCTAATTGCTCTGATCACATAGAAATATGTCTCTTTTTGGCCTGTGCTATGACTATATACAAAAAAAGAATTGCTGACACTGTCCTTGGTGTGGTCCCAATTCTGGTGGCCATTGTTGGCTGAGATCTGGCACCCTCTAAGCCTGTGGAAAACCTCTCTTATGGCAAGCATAGGGACATCACAGCAAGAAAAAATATGTGGATGCCACCAGCCCAAGCAGTGATGTCCAGGGGACTGCAGAGAGCAGAGGAGATGAGAGATCATGCAGTCTACTGGATACCCACATGTCCTTCATCACATCCAAACTCATCCCAACATCATAACTCCATGGCACAGCCTTGCTTTTGCTTCGGATTGCTTGGAACAACTTTGGCCATGCTCTGGTTTCCTGGGCTGTCTTCCATCAGTCTGGCAGGTCCTTAGAAAAATGAGCACTAAAAAGGAGGGGGAGAAACCTCCACTGTTCAAACATCTTTAGCTTTGACAAATAAGGCATCTGGCTGTGAAAGGCAAAGGAAATTAATTTGGAATCACATTTTAAACATGACCATAAAGGCAAAGTATCTTCTCTTTAATTTTTTTTTCACCCAAGGGAAAAAAAAAAAGAATTTCCCTGATATTTATAGAAAGATTATTAGGGCCACAAGAAGTGATTTATATCATCTCATCCCAGTGACGGAGAATGAAAAATTACTGGGGAGACAGCCACTGGAATCCCGCTTTTGTCTGCCTGACAATTAAAACGGCTAATTTCCAATTCCGACAGATTCGCCAGGGTTATAAATCATCCCGGAAAGGCACTTTTCACCGTGAAAAATGAACTCTGCCCCAATCAAGCACAAGAAGCTTAGAGCAGAGATTTGTATCTGTTTGCTTTTGTGTGTAAATATATATAAATATATATATATAAATACTCTGGCTCACACCCACTTGCCAAAGGAGATGCTGGTGAGGAGGTGTTGCCCCTGCTTGTTTGATGCTGGCCTATCAAACTCTTCCTGCTCCTCCATGATGTTAAATGTGATGGGGTAGACAGAAGGAAGAGATGACCCTCAACCTTTCCCTCTGAGGACAAGGAAAAAACTTCGTTTCTGGCTCAAATACCTTTGGGAAGCCTCACCCAAGGGTATGGATGGCTGAACAGTGCAGGTCTGAGTTCATCTACATGCACTAGAATAGAATTATTATGGCTGGAAAAGACCTTCAGGATCGAGTCCAGCCATAAATTCACCACCACCATGTTCCTAAGTGCCTCATCTACACGTTTCTTGAACACTGCCAGGGATGGTGACTCCACCACTTCCCTGGACAGACTGTTCCAATGCTTCATCACTCTTTCTGTGTAGAAAACTCCCCTAATATGTAACCTGAACTTCCCCCGGTGCAACTTGAGGCCATTTCCTCTTGTCCTGTTCGTAGTTATTTTGGAGAAGAGATCGAGCCCCACCTCACTACAAACTCCTTTTGGATAGTTGTAGAGAGCAATAAGGTCTCCCCTGAGCCTCCTCTTCTCCAGGCTAAAGAATTAAGGACCACCAGGACTAGCCTGTATCCATCCCATTTGGTTGAACCACATCTCATCCCACACTATGCACATCTTAGTCGCAGGATGACTTTAAAATCGATGGTCACCGGCAGAAGGACTTTCAGATAGAAGCGTTTATTCTGCCTATCCTTCCAGTCCTGTGCAGCTCGGGGCTCTCAGGGGCCAGCGCTGGTCCCAACGGCACCTGGATCTCTTCCAGCCCTGCCGTCGGACGTTATAACCTTGCACCAAGCCCCTCTAAGACAAACGCTTTGCTTAACGTTTCTATGAAATGCAAACAACGGTCCCGCACACTTGTTTGCAGAGGCAGGACGCCTTCCATGAAGACACCAGAAGCAAACAAGGATGCGTGGTGGGCTCTCCCGGGGCTCCCCCGGCACCGAGCTCTGTACACACCGAGCAGCGGAGCCCGGTACACGGTCACCCTGGTCACCCCGCTTCCTTATCACCGTTTGTACAGTTGGCAGCCTGGAGCCCATCCTGCGGCACGGAGGGTCTCAGGGAAGGCTCTCCTCGCCTCCGCATGGGAGCCACCCCGGGGAAGGGGAGGATGATGGATGAATGCGATAACCTTGTTTTATAGAGCTCAGTTCCTCTTTTTGTTTTATTTTTTTGCTGCCAAAGAGAAGAGAGCTATGGAGGACATGAGAGAGCCCAGCTGTTTTCCTTTCTTTTCCTTTCAGGAGCACAAGAGGAATTGCAGCCTGGGGGCACAGCTGGCACCTCGGGGCCATGAGCATCGTGGTGGGGTAAAATGTCTTCTCGTACCCAAGGCAGCCCTCATCCCAAAGCCAGGCCCCCGTTCCAGTGCCATGCTCTGTGCACTAGGCACATGTCCACAAGATGCTTTCAGATGCTACGTGGACTTCTTTGCTAGCAGGAGACACACAAGCAAACAAACACCATCCCCAGGCCAAGGAAACAATACTGGTCTCTGCCATGGTCCTACCAGTTCATTCTAGTTCTCCAAGTTCTTGCAAGGAGGTCTCCATCCTCCAGCCTTCCTCCTGCAAAAGGCCAAGAACATCTCTGCATCCTGCCCTCCCCTTGCAAACCCCCATAGCAAGACGCAGGGGCTCACCCGCGCAGGAATCCCACGGCTCTAGCCAGCACTGCACACACACTTCCCGATGGGCACCAACCATTCCCCCTCGGCACTGCAGTACATTTTGGGGGTGTCCCTCTCCTCCGAATGGCCTACACACTCTCCTCTCACTTCCACCAAGGAGGACGAGTCAGCGCCAGTGACAGCCTCGGAGAAGGATGCCAAGTTCCTCACCATTGCAGGACACTTCTTGTAGTACACCCGCACCGAAACGATGGCGATGCAAGCACCTATGTCCTGGAAGGCCAAGTAGAAACCCCTCTTGCTCAATGGCCCCACGCCCCGCACCTCCGTGTTCAACTTGAGCCGCCTAACGCCCAGGTCCACGCTGGTGAAGCTCTCATCTGCTGCAATGGTGTCAATCTTCAGAAACTGGCTCTCCCGCGTGCTGGTGCCCAGGTCACGGTCCGACTCCAGGTAGTAGAGGTTGAAAGTCTCCTTGCAGGTGCCCAGCACACCCGGCATGCTATTGCAGTCCCGCAACGTGAACTTAATCTCTGCATAGACCCGCCGGGCACCATCCCGTTGAACCCAGTTGGTCCGTAGCCAGTTGTTCTGGTTGGGGGTCATGACATTGCAGACCTGGTAGGTGTGGATAGGGCTGAAGAACTCATCCATTTCATTGATTGAATCCCACTGTGGAACAGAGAGAGAGTAGGTCATTCCAAGTAGCCTCAAAGAGCACAGTGAGCACAGGCAATGCAGGAGTATGGGCTATCATCCACCTTGGGACAAATTCCCAGTGCCTCTAGCTGCATCTGAACATGGGATCGCCACCAGCATTGGCCATAGGGAAATAATCACCTGGGGGGACTCCCCTGGTGTTTTGCCTTTAGGACAAACCTCTGCTTCTCACTCTTCAAGAGCTTGCAGAAGCTTGGAAGGGGCTGCAGCTTCAGGTGCATTCCGCAGGGGAAGCACATTCAGCAAGTGATAGGAGAGACAAGCTGCTTGTGGGAGGAAAAAAATCATTTCTAATTTAAAAAAAAGCAAAAACAAAAACAAAAGAAAGCAAACAAAAAAAACTCCATGAATTCAGAAATACCTGGGCTTGCCCCGGCATTGGGCAGACCCTATAGGACCTGCTCCTTATGACCCACTCCACACCCCATGCACGTCAGGCAGAAGATGTGGAAATTTCTGATCTCTGGGAAGAGCCATGCAGAGAGAAGCCCTTTGGGGAAGTGCAGGAAAACACACTTTGACACCCAGCACACGCTCCGACACCTCCTTTCTCCTCCGTGCACTCGGGAGCTGGCCCGTCTCCAGCTCCGGCGTGGACGCGGCGGAGAGTGTTCAAGTCATCGTCACAATTAATTGAGCACAAATTAATGCAACATCTGCTTCCTGTCTTTTCCCTGATGGATCCTCCCTCCGGGAAATGAGGCAGAACCACGTGCTGGGAAGGATGCGCGGCGGGATGGCAGAGCAGAGCGCGGTGGGCAGGGATGCTGTGTCCCCTGCTGCGAGGTCGGTGGGCTCAGGGCTCTCCAGCAAGCCCGAAGGAACTCGCAGCGTGGCCAGCAATATCTTACTAGCTGGATGATGTGGCTTGTTTCAGTTGTCCTGCACCCAGAAACATTCGTTTCTACCCCAAACCTGGCAAAAGGAATGATGCTCGTGAGTGCAGCATCTCCTTTACCCCTGGAACAAAAAGTAGGGGGTGAAATGTTCATCTCCAAGGATGAGCAACAATCAACGTCAAACCCAGGGAAGGACTGGGAGAGTTTTGTACTTGGAGCATTTCTTGTTCAAGCTTTCCACTTTTGCACAAAACACCTTCCCTGTCATCTCCTCCTTCCACCGCGGGTTCGTGGTCTACAACCAGCCTCAATACCGTGTCCCTCTAGTTAGCCAAGTAGGATGAGTGCTGTGCCATGGGTGGAGATGCCTGAAGGCCATCTGAGCTCAAATTTCCCTGACAACAAGTCCTACCAACCTGAGGTCCCATCACCTCCATTTGAGTCCCAAACAGCACCACAGAGGACCATCCCTCTCCACAGGGCAGGTCCCATTTGGTACCAGGGGACCATGGTGGCTTAGGAACCACCATGACCTCCACGGTTTTTCCCTTTGCCTTTATTCTAGGCTCTTGCAGCAAGCTCCTTCCCAGGGAGGGGAGTCTCTGACCATTGGCAGCTTTGACTTTGCATGATGCGATCGGCTTGGGAGCGCAAGCACCCCAGGTGCTCCCGTCCCCGCTCACACCTGCCTGCTCCCGGTTGCCGGTGTGAAGTGACTTTTATTAACCGCAGCTCGGCTCGGCCCTTGTCACTGCGATAAGATCCCCTAGCGAGAAAGAAATGAGGACATCATAATTAACGTGCATGCGTGGGGCCAGGGCACGATTTCATCTGTATGCAGGGGCTGCTCTAATAGCTTAAGTTAAAGTCAACATGAGTTATATACATACATACATATATACATATATTATTTATATAAAAGTTGCCAGATTATGACACGCAAAAGATGCAAACACCAGATATCTGGGCATCTGAGCAAGGTCTTAAAAGTCTCTCTGGGCCTGGGGGTGGTGCAAGGTGGGAAGGAGGAGGAGGAGAAGTGGAGGGGAACGAACATTCAAGGAGAAATTCCTTTCCACTGAGGAAGGCTCTCAGCCACTTTATTTTGCAGGACCAAGTGCAAGGATGGCTTCTGGGAGGGTTTGCTGTGTCTGTCGGACACAGCAAAGCTTTTACTACTCCTGGAACCTCTAGCACTTTCCTGCTTTCCGAGAGCATCTCTAAGCTTGTCCCTCCCCAGGAGCTGTCTGGTCCCTCACGCCGCTGCGAGGGGGAAAGAGAAAGGACGATATTGCTGCTATAAATCACTAGGTGGGGAAAGGGGGGTGTTTAATAGAGGTAATGCCCATGAAATCCGTCCCTGCGATGGCTAACGAGGGATTTGTTAGGCAGTTAACTACCCTGAGCTTTACTGCAGGTGATTAACTCCTGGTAGTGACCAGAGCCTGGGGAATTAGCAATAACCCGCTGAACAAGCACTGCGGGATGAGCTTTTATTTCAATTACTAGTTTAAATCTTTATTTTCGGATGTTCTGTTACTACCAACATATTTTTTTTAATGGAAATGAGTTTTGCCACAGCTTGCTCTGTAATGTGCTGGTATTCTCCTAGGCAGAGGGTCTCCATTTAAGTGAGGAAACCCAAGGCCATGACACCAAGGATACCACCAAAGTGAGGGGCAACAGCAAACACGGCCCCAGGCAGGCAGGAGAGCCCTGATATCTCCATGGGAAGTGCAAGAATCACCTCCAAGGTCTTTCTCCATGCTCCTGGAGTGAAGCCAAAGCCAAGCGTGCCAAGGATAGGGTAACGGGTGCCCACCAGCTCCCTACGCTCACCAGGTCACTGGGATCATGGTAGCACCGTTTCCCAGTGCTCAGGGGAGCATTTCCCATTTGCAAATCGAAGTAGGCAAAAAAATAATTATTAATAATATGTTGACTTATCTCATCACTGTTTTAATTAGATGATAGAAAAGCAATTAGCAGAGGGGGCCGAGCTGCCTCCTGTGGGTCATTGCCAGGCAAGGAGAGGGGACGAAAAGGGCATTGGGGCACTGGGGCGTTTTGGGGGAGAGCTCTGGCAAACCAGAGACGCACAAGGGGACAGAGCAGCCCCTTTGGCAGCCTGGATAAGAGTTTAATTATCGGTGCCCAGGGAATTGTCCCGGGGATGGAGCCGTCTGCATTGCTCCTGGGAGCTCTTTGAAGTTATAATTGAGCAAAGGCAGAGCCCATGGGACGGGGATGCTCCCAGTGACCCTTCGGCTCCCTGCACGCGTCGTGGGGGTGGAGACGAGGGGCGCACGATTAGACCCCCTCCCTCCCCTGCCCCGAGGGGCTATTATGGCCAATTACCCCCGGGTTAATTATCCATTGAGAGGAAATGTCACAACAGGCCACGCTCGGCCTCCCTGACGGCTTGACCCTCCGCGGGGCTGGAGGGTCCCTGTTGGAGCACTGCTCCTCCATCCTTGCTGGCCACGGCGGATCCTGAGAAATGCCTTCTTCATGCACAGGTGTGATGAAAACATCAGGGCTCTGCAAGCGGTCGCAGCGAGGCTCAGCTGCAGCTGCAATGGCACCGTGCCTGGTTGCAGGACACCCCGGCCCTTGTACCCGCTTGCAGCCCGCGCGTGCCCACGTGGAGAACTCGCTCTGCCGACATCCTTCCCACCCAGCAGGCAAAGGCAGAGCAGGATTCAGCAGCCAGGAACCAAAGCTGGGTAAATTCGCACTGCAGATAAGCCGTGTTTTTTCAGCAGCGATCTGCGAGCAGCTTGGAACAACTCGCTCTGGGATGCAGAGGATTTGCCATCCCTAGCAATTTTGAAATCGAGAACTCTTTTTTTTTTTTTTTTTTCTAAAAGCTCTGCTTTTATCAAACGTAAGTTAACTGACAGGTCTGCTGGCCTGTATTTATGCAGGAGATCACCTCATATGAGCTCCGTGGTTGTCCCTGACCTCTTCTCTGCAAGTGTTTCCAGGACAATCATCATTGCAACAGCTAAATGCTAAAATTAGAGCCGAGCTAATAATTTAATGCATACACATATACGACAATAATTGATATAAATCTCATCACCGTTATTATTATGAATTCACAATTCTGATCACTCCTGCTCGAATAGACCATGCAGGGGATGCAAGTCTCAGGCAACAGATCAATGAAAATGATTAGAGGCCTGGGAAGATTTCGGTAGGTGACGGAATTGAAAAGATTAGGAGTGTTTATTTCAGAAGTGGGGGCTGGAAAAGAGTGGACGTGAAAAACCAGCACAACCACCAGTACTTGCTGGGCACCCCAATCTTGCACATTTTTGCATGCAGCAAAACACGCTGCACTTGGTCCTCGTGTCTTATGGGGACCTACCAACAGATGAGGTCCTCTCTGGTCCTCAGCACTGACCCAAAAACCACCAGACCAGGCCTGAGGGGTTGTCCACTCTCCCTGGTCACATGGGTCAGTGGTGGCCTGTCCCTGTGGAGGCCCCAGAGTGCTGAGAGCCACTTCATACTTACTCCGTGTGATGGGTAAGTGAGCCAGCCCCAGTCCCCTGGCATCGTTGATGTGTCTAGCAAGTTCACTGGAAAACACAGGAGCAAAAACATCGTGTTAGGAAGCTTGTCGCCTGTCACCGAGGAGCAAGGAGCCACCCCACCTCGAGCCACCCCTCCTTGCATGCCCACCTGTCCCTCCCTGAGCATGGCATGCTTGTCCTCTGTGCCTGTGTCCCCAGGAGGCTGTGACACCAAGACACATGCTGCCACCCTATTCCAGCACAGCACGCACGGATGCTCAACAGGACACGAGAGCTGAGCGTGGATGAGGTTCTCCACTGGTCCTGCCCATCCTGGACCAACACGATGCGGCCAAGCCCTTCTCACATGGATAATCCTCATCCTCTGCCAAGCCCTTCAGCTCAAGGCAGCTGAATCTGCACTCCAAAAGCAGCGGTAATTAAGCAGAGTAGCACCTGCCACAAAATGACTCCCTGCCATCCCAGCTAACATGACACCAGTGAGACTGGAGATGAGGAGCCCATCAAAGGCACCCCCTTCAAAAGCCTTGGTGTCCCCTGGAAGCCCAGGAACCTCAGGGTTCACCTTTGAAGACACTCAAGAAGTCCCTATTGAAACCAGCGTGGTGTCGGCATCACCGCGTGCATGGGGTGAACTACCTGCAGCTCTAATCCGCTTTGTGGGATGCCCATTAGCTCCATGCCAAGGTCTTGGTAGTGGGATGCCAGAGAACCCGCTCTGGTACCCAAGGACACTTGGGTGGCTGGAGCTCATGAACGAGCTACGGGCTCCCAGGCTCTTCTGCATGGGAGCTCCAGGGTCTGCAGCAAATTTGCTGCCAGTGCACGGATTGTCACGGGGCAGATGTGGCTTGTCATAACGGCAGGTTGCAGCCAGAGCAAGGGCTGAGATGCAGCAAAATGCGAGTCCGGGCAGCTGGAGGAACCGGGTGCCACCTCCGCGTGCTATTACCAGGCGGGGAAGGAGAAGGGGGGCGGGAGAAAGAAGCAGGGACGTGAGCTGGCTGCGAAACACCCGGACGTCATGCTCCTGACAGAGCAGATTAGGAGCTTTTGAGGCATTTATTAATGTTAGCGGAACCATTTGAAAGAATTTCCAGGGTTTCTGGCGTGGCTTCATTGGCCCGGCAGCGGGCTGAGCCCCTCTGCTCCCTGCAAGGGGCTGCTCCGCCTGCTAAGGAGGCCCCTCGCCCTCAGCACGGAGTAATTACCTTGGCGATCTCAAATCCATTTTTATTTGTTATTGTTAATCTGAAGATTTTCTGCCTATTTTCCCTGGGTAATTCGCCCAGCGGGAGCCGGGGCCGGGAGTTTCCCCGCTCCTAGTGTGGGAGCGTGGTCCCGGTGACCCTCCGGTGCGCAGGGGACCCTCCTGCAGAGCCCACGTCCCCTCCCCATGGTTTCTGCACCCTCTTTCCCACGCTGGGATATTCAGAGGTGGGCACAGTCACAGCTTGCTGCAAGAAAAGACTTTCTGGGAGTCTTGAGGAGCCTGCGCACACCAGGGTTGCATTGCACCGTGCACAACGGTGCTGAGATCTCCCCAGGGGACCTCCCACTTGAGGACACTGCTCTGGTCCCCAAAGCTCTGCAAACTCTTGTACTGCATGGGAGCAGTGAGCCCCAGGCGATGGATCTCCTGCTCCTGGGTGGGGAGCCCTTTGCTCACCCCCATCCCACCATGTGGATGACATGGGTGTCCCTCACACCTCCATATGGAGCAAAGACCTCCCTGCTTCCAGCTGTTCTGGTGCACAGATCCCTTAGACTAGCATGCATCCCTTGCAGCAGGACATTGTCCATGCCTTTGAGCAGGAGGAGAGTTAAGAAAGCTCTTCCATCATTATTTGGGAAGTGTTTCCACCAAACCCTACATCTTAAGCTCAGTGCAAGGAAAGTGGGCAAGTAGAAAGGTGTTCCCTGTCCCAGAGCTCTTGCGTTTATGTTATGGCAGAGCAGGCTGCTCTCTATGAGGTCCTGTTGAGCAACACACGTCCATGCAGGGTCCAGGTAGGGAGCAGCCCACACTGAACAAATGCAAGAGCCACCCCATCCATGGACTCACACCCCGGATGACCATCTGGGGAAACACCTCCAGGCCCCAAAGCCCGGGTCCACGTGAACTCCTGCTTCCCCACACAAACACGGAAAACGCAAGGGCTATCAGGTGGAAAAGGGCCTGCAACTGCTTTTAAAGCAATTCCCCCACCGTATTGGTTTGGGAGACCTCCCTGTGTAGAGCGGGGCGATTCTGTTTGATGTTATGGCCTGTCTGCCCCTATCAGTCTCAAGCGACAAGCTCCATTTTGTCTTCCTGAGCACCATTTTGATTCTCCCTACGCCGTGTCTTGGCCTCAGCTCGGCGCATTGAGCCCAAGCACCAGGAGGTGTCAGGAGGAATTCTTGCGCTGATGGAAAAGCTGTCAGGCCCGATTGTCCATTCGCATGGAAGCTCCGAGCAGCAGGCAGGTCTCTTCCCCTGGTGCAAGCCCGTATTTTGAGCTCGCTCAAGGCGGGCTTAGCTCGCTGCTTTATAAAAAACTTGCAATGTGCAAATTGGCACGTTGTGATCCCTTGCAAGATGATCATCCAGGACCGCTAGGTTTTTATGTTTGTATCACCAACCAAACTCTAAACAGTACTTGAGATGGGTGAGGTAGGGTGGTATGTGTATTTTTTTTTCCTGGATCCATACACCTTTGGTATTGCTTAAAAAAGAGAATTATTGCTTAGAAATCCTTCCCGGCACACGCCGGGGATCACGGATGCTGCAGGGGTTTGTTAAATCCATGCAAATAGAGGCTGGGGTGTTGTGGGGAATCGTGTTTGCGGGAGTCACCAACACCCAACGGAGGGGCCTGAAGCGCAGTGGGGGACGCCCCATCCTCCAGGAGAGCGGTCGGGGGCTCCGGGCTCCCGCGCTAATTGATAACCCACCGCGGTCCTTGCTCTAATTGCTCCATCGTCTCCCTCCACCGCTTTGCCGAGCGCCCGCAGGGAGGGAAGGGTCAGAGGGAGCAGCCCCCGTCCCCGGGAGGTCCCATCCTTCCCTATCGCAACTTCAAAGGCTCCCAGCGCGGCTCCCTCCCTGCCACGGTGCCTTTCACATCGATGATTAAATTCCCGGACCGCGATCGGCAGAGGGAATTAAGCAACGGAGCTCTGGGAAAGGAGCTGGGAAAAGCTCCCTGAGAGGAGGGGGGACAAGCAGGAATCGTTTGCTGTCATCTGAGGCAGGTGGGGCCGGGATGGGTCAGTTATTTGTATCCCAGCATTTAATCCGGGGCCGTGCTGAATAGCCGCCCGCGACCTTTCTGAATTCGCGGGGCGAAACGGTGCAGCAGAGCCTGGTTTTCCCTGGCCTCCGTGTATCTGGGGGAAAGGCGCCTGGCTTTCAGCCTCCTTCTCCACAGGAGGATGTTTATCCTTAAAGATAGAAAAAATAGATGTTTATTCAACGTGTGACCCCCAGGGTTGGGGTTTTGGGGCGGAAAGCAGCAGCTTGGCCGGCACAAAAGCGGCGAAGGGTAGACGCTCCGTCCGGGATCTGCCGCTGGATCCAAGGGAGGTCGATCAGCCGTGGGGCTGGAGGCACCAAGGACCTATCGGGAGAGATGCACCAGGACCATCGGCATCTGCCAGTTTGGGAAATTTGGAAAGACTTTTGGAAAGAAACATGAGTGAACAGCAAAATTGCAGCCAAATCCTGCAGGCACGGGGGATTTCCACCTTGTGGGAAATGCCAGAATTGGGCCAGAAAATAAGGACAAAGCATCAATTTCTGGCAATTCCTGTGCAAAGCCAGGGCTGGCTTTGACCATCTCCTAATTGCCATTTCTTTTTATTATTATTTATTATTTTGCTCAGCACCTGCAGATTGTCACTGTGAACTTTCCGTATTCTTTAATTTTATCCTGTTTTGTCATGCACCAGGAGCGGTAATGCCTCGAAGGACTGCCCAGAGGGTCACCCCTTTTCAGCATACCGGGAGCAGGAGCTACTTTGATGTAGGAAGAAAGCCTGTTTGCTCAATCAGTGCTAACAAAAAGCCGCACTTTGGGTTTTAAAAATAAAAATCATCGCCCTGATCCTGCCAGACCCTGCCTGGTGTCATGTAAGACAACATGGAGGGGACGTGCATAACCCGTGGTGAGATCGAAATGCCAGGAAATAATGGGAAAACAAAATAAAACATGCCAAATAAAATATTTCTGCGGAAAAAAAAAATTACGAGGCTTTCTTTCTTTTTTTTTTTTCTCAGAAAATGAAACATCTAAAGCAAAATAATAATAATAAAAAAAAAGCCCCTCTCTCAAAAACACTGATGAGAAAAGGCAGGCACAAAGCGCTAATCTTTTCTGCTCAGTTTGAGGCTCTCGTGATGTCTGCATGGTGGGACAAGCGGAATTGCACATCCCAAGGTTTTGGGGCAGCAAACGGTGCATGGAGAGACCGGGACACAAATAACATAGTGGAAACAACTTAAAGAACCGTGATGTCCCCTAGTTGTAGGGTGGGATATTTGGGGGTAGGAGTCCCGGAGCGCAGGGTGAGGATGCGTTTCCTTCGGATCCCTTGTTTCCCGGCCCAAGATCTCTGTCGCGGAGCTGTGCCGGGCTGTCGAAGGAGCTATTTGAGGCTCCAGGGGTGTTTGGGCTTCTTGTAATTCAGGGCAGAAGACGGAGGAGGAGGTGGGAAGGCTCCAGGGATGGGAAGGGGGTGAGAAAGGTCAGGGAGGCAAGAAACTCCATGGAAACATTGCAGGGCTGGGAAGGCGAGCGAGGGGAGGGAGCCGGAGCGTGGCAAGGCTTGGGAGAGACACGGAGCAGAGGGGAGCCACAGGGAGCCAAAAGGTCCCTGAGGACGTGGGATGCCCCTAGGACGGAGCAAAGAGTCTCCTTCTCCTCATCAGGGCATCCAGGAGCTGCCACCCCATCCCACTCTATCCAGGTCTTTTCCCAGCACGGCTTATTCCCAGCCCGTTCCCAACAGCGCCGTACACTCCCACTAGTATTTCCAACCTGTCTGGGCTTTTACAGCATTCAGATTTCTTACCCCAAATTGGGATTTGCCCAATATTGGCAGTCCCGCAGCTGCCTGGAGCAAAGATTCGAGTTTTGCCTTCTCTGGAGAGTTGCACTGAGATGTGGATTTTTTTGCAGGCGTGCTCATTTACCTGGGCTCCACAAAGGGGCTTGGATGGCAGCATTCCAGGCTATCGGGTGCTTCTCCACTAATTTCTCCGAGGACGTCTCTCACGCTCGCAGCAGTTGGCCACCCTAAATCACACTGAGCCATTTGCACCGTGGCGACTTTTTTTTTCCAGGAAGTTATTTTTTTCTAATGGCAAATACTTTGCTCTCTTAAAAATAGCTTCTTAAAATCAAACTTTTTTT